ACAGGTTTTCTTGGTCTGTGTGTGGCAGAACACATAATATCTGAATCTGACTGATAGGACACAGAGACGTCTCTAGTAACAGGGACAGTTGAAAGAAACAATAAGAATATGAAAGACATGCTGCAAAAAAGGAGCTGTTTTCACCTTTGTGACAATGCATTTCCCACAAAATCCTAAAGGTTTTTAATGTGTTTTTGCCTTAAGAGGAAGGACAACTTTCTTAACACATTAATAAATGTAATGCTATAGTTTATCTGAAAATTCCAATTCAAAATTTGTAAATCTGAAAGGTAACTATAGCTGACACTCCAATGCACTGTAGTGTAAACTGAAACATTTGCTTCTGAGATGTTGTGTTGTTGTGTATTAAGGATCATAATTAAAACCCCCTCAGTGCCACTGCATTTGTTAAAGCTGGGTAACAGTCAGCCAGCACTATAAATAATTCTGGTATGATTTATAGTCTGATGAGCCTGAACAGTTAGAGGCCACCTTGTGGAAAAAGAAAATCAGTGTTGACGTGAGAAATCCTTGTGTATGATTTAGAAATCTGTATTTTTAAGGAAAAACATGCTCTTGATTAAATATACTTGTAATTCAAACTGTCAAATTCATAAGCACTGAATCATGCCAGTCTTTTAATGCAGGGAACAAAAGTAAAATTAATCACACCCAGTCACTAACTAACACGAGGTCAGAAGCAATGCATTCATACACAAGAAGGGTGGGAAATACAGAGACATGAATATAATTTACAAGATAACACATTAAGTTCCCATGTTCTGCTTTTATAAGGAGTAATTAAACATTATCCAAATACATATTGATCAATTATATTATATGTATTTATTATTTTGTTTGTTTATTATATTTTTTAAATTGTATATATTAAATATGTTTTGTTGACTGACTTATTATTTTGGTTATTGTTTCATCTTGAATAAAACTCCAGTTAGTCTGTGCCTTAAAATGTATATAAATTGGGCTAAACTGTCTGGAAAGCCAACTGAGAAACAATTTTTAGGTGAAACAATTCAGTGACACTTGACTAATAAAGTTACTTCGTCACACTGGTGAAGGAAGCGGCAACCAGAGGTTACCTCAGTGGAACCAGTATGACAGAGATACAGTATGTACCGTGCTTTTATGGCGTATATTACTGTATCAATCAATACGCACACATGCAGATACATTCTTTCACACACAGGTCAGTAATGAAATCCAGACCCTCCTTAGGGAAGTAAACATTGCTTTGCACAAAATACTTTGCCCTCATGGTTTATTATGATTACTGAGGCATCCCACTCTGAGAACAGTGGGACAGTGAGAGACCAATGCTGAAGATTGTGTGCAGTCCGCCAGACAACTCATTCACGCACACATTTTCTGTGCTGGACAGTATCACACGTTATTACCTGTTAACACTTCAGTCGAATTCTGCCCTTCCAGCAATCGACTGACATTTGACATTTGTACATCTGGCTGCTTGTCCATCTGGCTGCTTGTCCATCTTCATGTTGTTCAGCTTGCCCTTCAGTCTATCTGATTGATCCATCATTCATTTGTCTGACCATCCGTCCATCCAACCACTTGGGTGGTAGGTGTCCTGTGGATTTTCTGCCTGCAGTGTCAGAGGAGAGAGCCTGTCTTTCAGCATCAGGATCCAGAGTCCAGAAAACACACAGCAGCCCCCCCACCCTCCCATCATGCCTTGCCTGGTTGTATTATGACAGGTGGAGTGTCGGTCGCCACCAGCCGGACTTTCCTACCAGCACCTCTCTCCAGCTCAGGAGGGCTGCAGCAGAGAGTTAGTATATGTGTGTGCTGACAGACACCAGTCTCATTATGTGTGTATTTACATATAACTGTAAGACAGTGTATATTCATACAAAGTGTGTCTATATGTAAAATGTGTATGTCTTGGAAGAGTATGAAAGGGAGAAAATGATGAAGATGACAATGATGGACCAGAGTGAAGATGAAGATGAGGAGAAGGAGAAATTATGCATAAAAATAATATGCACAACCAAAAAGAAGAGGAGGAAGAGTAGGACAAGGTGAAGTAACAGAAAAAAGACAGTGGTGATGGTTCCCAAGAAGGAGGTGAGAAAACAATTTGGGATGTGGAATGAGGATAAAAACCGAATCAGCCTGATGGAGAGAGGATGTGTGATGAAAGCACAAAGTCCTCACTCGGCACCAGGATGGCCTCTCACTCGTCTCTGGAGGTCAGACTGCTGAGTTTCTGTTTCTTCTGTGCTTCATACTGAGTGATGGACAGTTTTTTAACACTTTAATTCACAATGAAATGAAGACTGACAATTATCAGCACATTTACTTCCTCTCAAAGTAAAGAAGCTGCTTCAGAGAGTGTATCATCATCATTAAGATGCTGCTGATAACGCCTCAGGTTTCAGGGCCAGGAATCTATAATTAGTTTTGATCCTTGGATGTGTTAGGTAACTCTAAATACTCTGCCACACAGTGATAATATTTACATTTGTTAACTAGTGTTTATATATTTATTTATAAACAATAAGTATGAATTTTTTAATTTCTGAATTTGTGAGCACCCAGTTGTGTATCAGAAAATATCCAGTGGGTAGTTACACATGGCCTGCATAAAAAAAAAAGCCATTAGAATAATGAAACAAATATTAAACGTTCGATAACAGCAGATTTAAAAAGTAGATTTACTTTACCTGTATTTAATAATGTTTTAGATTAATGTTGCCTCTTTATTGAAAAGGCATTTTGTTTTCCAGCTATGTTATTATATTGTGTTCATTTCCATACACTAATGCATTGTTTTCTAGGGATATGACATTAAATCTCTTAATATATTGTAAAATTCAGTTTCTTCAGTGTAATTTTAAAAATGTATTCTTGAATGGCAAAACAATACGATGGGTTAGATTAGTGAAAATGTATTAGAATTTAATTGGACTAACTAATGCACTGGCAGCGACTTTGGCACAAACAGCTACAGTTTTTCTGGTTGACGCTTCAGTCCAAAGGACCGTACACCTACACAGCTCAATTTCCAAAGGGACCAAGTGGACAGCTGCCCTGGGGCACCAGAACTCTGGGGGCCTCAGAACTTCCAGATTCCCTGTCTGCCAACTCATTTGTCTTAATTAACATTTAAATAAAAAAGTTTCAGAATGTGCACCACTGGGCCGCTGTATCACAAGGGCCTTGATGTGCTTCTTTACTTGGGGATCCTTTCGCTGTGTCAGAAAGGTTTTAAGACTTTTTGATGCTGCATAGTTCTAAATGAAATGACCACACAGAAAACCTGGGTTGAGGCAGCTCATCCTTGCCCTGGGTCCTTCTGGTAGGTTGGTCATGGCCTTAAACCACCACATCCTCTACACTTAAATGTTTTATTACCCATCACCTCTGCAAGAATTGAATATCTGGCAGCTTTCTGAGTCTCTCTCATGCTGACCTCACTGAGCTCCAGCGCCACATACTGCATTGCCCAGATCATTTATCACAAGACTCAGAGAAACAAAAAGCAGAAGAATCTAACTTTATTCAAGAAGAGGCATTTCTTTTATGGAGGAAAGATGAAAACCAACCTCTGCTGGGTGGCCAGGAAACACGAGGTGAAGGCATATACACATGCACACATACAAACCCATGTCCCATCAGTCACTCCCTGCTCAACCAGCCCACTCTCCCATCACCCAGGCGTGAGAGAACATAACGGCTCAGGTCTCTAAATCTGATGCACCAAAGAGCACAGCCTCAGTGCCTCAGGAAATAATAATGAATATGGAATGATAGTCTGTATTTGGCAAATGCAACCAGATGCAAAAGGTGGAGGAGAAAAAATCAGGAGCAGATGTTTAAGAAATAAGAAGTCTCTGTGACTGTGAGCAGCCAGTGTGCCCTGCAAACATATTGTAACCTTAGCCAGCGTGGAATATAATCACTTATAGTATCTATATCACTACTTTGTAATGAGCGAGGGTATGGAACAGAGCTGTTCTGCAGCTGCTCCCTGGGAAACTTCAGTTGTTGAGGAAGTAGCCAGGCTAGACACAACACCACCCAATTAACATGGAGACCTTAGACAATGAGGAAACCGCACGTCTGCCACAATTTAATAGCCTATCATACACATGGTGGTGGGGGAGTATGTGAGTGCATAAAATATGCTTCCACACATTCAGATACATGCAGCTGGTGTTCAGTTCAGCAAAGAGAGGATGGAATTGTGTCGTTTAGTTGGATGACCCAGTGATTCATGAAAAGAGAAACTTTCTGCAAGATCCAGTTGTTTCCATTCTGTGAGAAAAGTGAGAAAACAAATCAACTGGAATTCAAAACTTAACATTGAAAAATCTACTGTCTGTCATTTTCTACATGCTTATAACCTCAGCAGCAGTGGTGGGTGACCATTTGGAAGGAAAAAGCAGGAAGCAGAGGAATTGTGAATTGAGAAAGTGGCTGTTAATCGAACCTAACACTAAGGACGTAAAAGTAATTTTTTTTTTTTTTTGCTTTCCTGGACTGTGCTGATGGAGACCCAAATCTTTGTCATGCGATTGGCTATACACTCATTCAGACCAAACCAGCAGCCAGTCACATAACTGCTTCTGCTTAACACCTGTAAGTGATGAAAAGTAGTTTTATGAAATAAAATGGCCACTGGAAATAAAACTAAAATGGTGAAAAAAGACTGGAAAATGACAGGGAATTAAAATTGTAAAAATGGATTAAACTGTTTACAAACAGGAGCAACATAAAATAGCATTTGCTTGTAATGAACAAAGTTTTTAAAATATACTGAAATATTTCACACTTTCATAGTGACCATGAAACATTATTGTTTTTTTCTCTACTTTCCTAACTTTTGCACACTATTGTACAACATCAACTATAGTCAGTATTTTTAATAAGACCCTGTGCATTAATCAAAGTTAAGGCAGTAAACCCTATAATTACTGTAGGAATTAAATACGCGACTCGGTGCTATCCATTTTGTCTTTTCAAAGCCACCGTAGTATGAAGTCACAATCCAAGATGGCGCTCCCCGTGAGGAGTAATTTCAAGCGTCTTTTCAACTTCATTCAGACGTTAAAGTCTTCTAACAGGTTATTCTGCGCTGGAGTAGGTCAGCAGAAAAAGGTATGTGGTGTGGTGATTTCTTTACCGAGACGTGTTGTGTCTTCGCTCGAAGAAGACTGTGTGAGAAGGCTTTACTAGAAATAGACTTGTAAACCTTTCAGCTTCATGCCTTAGTAATTCTTAAACGCAGTTCTGCTAGAGTTTTATTTAAACTTGGGCTGTAGGTGTTTGTCTCTTCATAAAAATAAAATGGAGGCCATCTTAATTTTCTAATTAACCTATTTTAATTAAAGTGATCCTTAGAACAGGTTCGATATCAGGATATTTTTACCAGTCTGTGAGGAGGCGACACCGAAATGATGACGACAGGCGATATGTGCAGAGGAGGGAGATGTAATAAATAAATAAATAAATAAATAAAAATCTGAGTTCTCATCGGACCATTTTGACAGAGTTCGCGTGGTCAGACATCGGATATGAATCAGATCTAGGAGCAAATATGGAAGATTTGGAAAAAACTTGAATAACAGAATAAGGCTGTGTAATATAACAAAATAGCAGTATTAACATCAACAAACAGTGCAAAAAATTTAGAAAAGGCAGTATAAACAGACAGTAAACAATGCAGACAACAAAGGAATGTTCATTGAAATGAGATAAATAGGTATAAAACAGAATACTTAAAAACTAGAGACCTGTACGAGTCTGTATAATCTGTACAGGTGCACAGTGACCTGTAACACCGTCCAGAGGGGAGGAGTTCAAACAGATTGTGTCCAGGGTGTGAGGGGTCAGCAGTGATCCTCTCCGCCCTCCTTTTGACCCATGAGGTGTACAGGTCCTCCATGGAGGGCAGGCTCACACCAATGACCTTTTCTGCAGTCCTGACTGTCTGCTGAAGTCTGTACTTGTCCTGTTTGGTTGCTGAGCTGTCTGTCAGAAAGCTAGTAATCCACTGACAGGTGGTGGCAGGAACAGTGAGCTGGGTCAGTTTGGAGTGGAGGATGTCTGGGATGATGGTGTTGAACGCTGAGCTGAAGTCCACATAGAGGGCCCGTGCATAGGTCCCTGGGGAGTCGAGGTGTTGCAGGATGTAATGCAGTGCCATGTTCACTGCATCGACCTGTTTGTCTGGTAGGCGAACTGCAGGGGGTCTAGCAGGGGAAATAATTGGATTTGAGTTACTTCAGTGGGTAGTCTGAACATAATCAAAAGTGTAACAGTCTCTCCAAACTATCACTGTCACTTTAACACTGGCTTTGAAAAATAAACAGGTAGAGAATACTCGTGGAACTGCAGCAGGAAGATTTGGTACTTGCAGCAGCTGCACTTATTTTGGCAGTGGAGACTTTAAGCCTGAGCACTAACTGTCAGCTTTGGTGTGAGTTGCTCATACTTGGAAAAGGAAGTTTTTTCCCCTGTAGAGTACAGATGAAAGCAGACATGGTTACACCCAGTCCATGGGGGATAGGTATTCTGGGAAATGGTGAAACTAAACAAAACCGGTTGAAACAAGATGTGGTTCTTTATTTAAAATAAAATCTCAATATATCGTGTGATCACATGAACTAAAGAACAGTTGATTATACGCTGACTGTATTTCAGTGTAGTTAGCTTATATTTTACACAGCCATAACATCTTATTTTTAGTTGACATAAAGGATTGTTTTTTTATGGTTCCTTCTTGAGTTTAAATTACATCTTTTGACTGTAGTGGCTTTCATTTGTGACGAACCTTTTTTCTCGTCTATCTTGAGCTTATTTTGTGCAGTTTCCTTTCCTATTCTGGCATGTGACATCATATCCTCAGGAACACTGCTTGAGTTTAACTTTTTACTTCACTGGTTTTAATAAATACACCCAGGGTTTCCTATATGTGACAGCTTTGTTGGAGAAGCAAATGGGATGTGAAGACAAACGGTGAGTCCTGTGGGACACACAACAGTGACCGCTGCATTTCAGTACAACAACGATACTAATTATTGAGCTGTTCTTGCATTACAGTTCAGTTAAACACCTCAGCCATCTGCCCAAAGCCCTGTTTCTGGCTGATGTATGAGCTGTAATACTGTATGCGCGTTCACTGCCATCCCGTCTGTATTTAGTTAAGGCAAAGTCTCAGGCGAGGCCGGATAGGTGTGCGACAAGAGGGGGAAAAGGGAAGAGGAAGTGGGGCACTCCAAAGGCATCACAGCAGTGCTTCAAAACCAACAATAACATCAGAAATGAAGTGTTGGTTTTCATTAGTTTTAACTTTCTCCAAATGTGGACGAGTGAGCACAAAGACCAAGCACGCTCACAATGCCCCGAAGTGCGATGTGCGTCAGACAAGGTGTGTTTTTTTCCTTGGTTTCTCTGTACTGGAAATGTGTTTAAGAAGTCACTGAACAGACTGAGGCAAAGCTAAAGTGTGACTTTTGTCTGATGCTATGAATTTTGAGAGAGATCATTATGAGATACAGTGGTGTGAAAAAGTATTTGCCCCCTTACTGATTTCTTATCTTTTTCCTTTTTTGTCACACTGTAATGTTTCAGATCATCAAACAAATGTAAATATTAGTCAAAGATAACACAAGTAAACACATCATGCAGTTTTTAAATGAAGGTTTTTATTATTAAGGGAAAACAAAATCCAAAACTATATAGCCCTGTGTGAATAAGTGTTTGCCCCCCCTGTCAAAACATAACTTAACTCTGGTTTATCGCGGCATCACAGCAGTGCTTTAAACCCAACAATAACATCAGAAATGAAGTGTTGGTTTTCATTAGTTTTAACTTTCTCCAAATGTGGACGAGTGAGCACAAAGACCAAGCACGCTCACAATGCCCCGAAGTGCGATGTGCGTCAGACAAGGTGTGTTTTTTTCCTTGGTTTCTCTGTACTGGAAATGTGTTTAAGAAGTCACTGAACAGACTGAGGCAAAGCTAAAGTGTGACTTTTGTCTGATGCTATGAATTTTGAGAGAGATCATTATGAGATAGCTTTGCTTTTTAAAATGATCACTTGTAGTTAGAATTTGCTGTTAATATTAGCTCATAATAGGAAGTATGCAATAACTTTTTGAAATTTGACAACAAACCTTTAAGAGGGTGAAAAACCATGTTTTACTGCTGTTGGCTAGCTAGCCAGCAAACGCTGGGAGGCAACCCTGCCCCAGTAAAAGCTCCAAGACGTTGGGTGAAGAAATATGACCCTGTAGACATTAAATGCACACAATGAATATTTGGGCAGGTTGTCATCGGACATTTTTAACAATCAAGAGTGGGCGTTAAGTTACAAACTGTTGAGAACCCCTCCCTTAAGGTTTATGATGTCATTGATCCATCACAAGCTTCTTTTAAATGCCCAACTTAGAATCTGCAGCATAAAAAACAAGGGGGGGGGGCGTTTTGTTTTTTACTGAAATTAGTTCTCCATTGTAATTGACATACAGTTGACTCAAAAAAATCTTGAATCAGTTGTAAATTGATGAGGCTGGATAGCAAAGTACAAACCTTGTTTTCTTTAAGCATCCCAAATTTTTTTTTTTTTTTTTTTTTTTTTTTTTAACCATATTTTTCATCAAGTTCTTCATGTTTGAGACTCTGAATAGTGGATTCGGAAGCAGTAGGGTTTGGTTAGAATATGTGTATTTTCTACAACCCTCCTGCCCTTCCACTGGCTTCCAGCCTCACAGCAGTTGTAAATCGGCTGCTCCCCATTCAGCCATCCCTCACCTGCGGTCCTGTTATTGGCTAGTATCAATCATGTCAGCCCTGGGCTCCAGGAAAGAGGAAGTGACTTCTAATTTGCCTCTGCTCCAAATTCACTAACTTGGGTGTCAGAAAAAAACATTAGAGCGGCTCCAGCACCAAAGGAGAGGTCGGCAAGAGCCAGGAAACATGACCTCCAGTTTGTGAAAGTTCATTAACTGCCCTATTTGTATTCAACTGTCAGAAAAGCCCACAAATTCTCAGTAGGCCCCTCTATGTAATTAGGTCTGTTGTAGTCATTCTTCAGCCAGGGCCCTCTCTTGGAGGCCGTGCACATCACCCATTTCTTAAAACTATGCCATATCTCAACATATTCCTCTTTTAAAGCAACTCTCAAGCTAAGTCAAATTACAGAAACAGTCTGTAGACATGTGCTTTTAGTAGTACCTGGGGAATCTTTCTAGTTTTTCCATGTTTTAGTCTGGGCCTGATCCAGAACCCTTTGCTGAGTGTCTGACATTTTTAATTAAAACCTGCCAAGTATCTGGTGTCATGCTTTTGCCAGAGGAAATGACTGGACTCTTCAGAGACACTGCTGCTGGTGGAGGTTTGCCCAGAGTGCTGCCATAATTACACAGTGATACATTTATGAAGTGTGTGCTAGTTATTTTTGCTGTGTTGGGACTTTTCCATGTTTTTTGAGTATTCTTAGCTCACCTGTCAATGGTTTGTTTCCAGCAAGTGAAATGAAATTTAACATGTTCATTGCCAATACAGAAGGAGAAGCTAGTGGTTAAATGAAACTATTTGAAACACTTTAAAAAGGACTCACTGCAAGCTCTGGCATGGATGTGTTTATCTAAGGGTGAAAAAAGTAACATTATAAATTAAGCTGGTCTTGGCTTTTCCAGCTGCACACAGCTGCTTTACATTGGATCATGGGCATATTGTAGGCAAACTGCTTTGGATTTACAGTACAGTTTCAGTCATGCTGGTTCCAAGGTGATTAGTTCTTTGTGAGAAAGTAAATAAAACTGCTGTTACAAAGGTATCATGGGCTGGGCACTGGAAATAATTTCCAACTGTAGAAAATATTTGGGTGTTAAACTGTGCTCAGACTGTCATTAGCACACTGCATCAAAAGTCTCGCAGATTCGTGCGTTCATACAGATGTGCATATGGGTAAACATACAGAGGCCTCATACAAAAACAGTGCAAGGTGATGATTTAGTTTTACCACAACTCAATCATCTGCACTGGCTTGGATAATCATATGCATACAAGTAAAAAAAATTTGTAGCTCCTTATTACTGTGTACACTGTAATACAATCACCTCCTGGTTAATAAAAGGATGCAATTATTTCTG